ATGAAACTCAGTTGCTGAAGGAAACACAGGCCTTCCATGACAAAGAGATGCTGACTCCTCTGTGTTCTGTCTCCTAATAATTTTGGGATCTTCTCCCTCATTCATTTGCTGAGTGAACAGCTATAAAGGGAGCCTACAGTGAGGGTGCCTGGGTGGCTCAGTCGATTGGGCGTTCGACTTCGACTCAGGTCAAGATCTGATAGCTTGTGTGTTTGAGCCCCATGTCAGGAGCCTGCTTTGATTTCAGTGTCCCTCTCACTCTGCCCCTCCCTTGCTCATGCTCTCTCTCTCTCTCTCATAAATAAAACATTAAAAAAAAAAAAAAGGAGCGAACTGTGGTTAGTCTACCTCAGCTGTGGACTTTAAAGTATATTCCCAAGCAGCTGTCCAAACTCCCTTTGTTTCAAGAAAATCCCGTCTTCTCTAGCCTGACATAGATCCCTATTTCCACTTTGTTGGATATCAAACAAACAAACATGGAGTCTCCTCATTCCCAGCTGACAAGGTGTAGAACCAGGAATCCTTTTTCTCTGCCTTCTGGGACTTCACCTTTTCTACCTTCCCCTCTCCATTCTCCTGGTTCTGCATCACCTTCTGTGTGACCGACATAAAAAGTGGCTTCTGTACCATCCTCCCACCCTCAATGTCAAGGAGTGATGAGCACCCCTTTGGATCACCCACTTCAAATTCCCCCACTGGTGTCCCTGGTGAAAGAGTGACAATGGGGAACACATTGATTGTCCTTTAAGTAAATGCAGGTGGAACAAATTCAGTTTTTAAGCTTAATTAAGTTTGTTGATTTAACTATGATAGACATGTATATAGAGTTATCAGCATTAAATACGAAACTTTTGTTCTACCAAAGTTCTCTAAAGGTCAAATAAGCTCATGAGGCCTCTGTTGCAATTTGGTAGCAAAGATGATTTAAAATAATGGTTAATTTTGTGTATCTCAAACTTTTCATGGATAATTGTTAAGATAGCTTTCACAGTCTTTGGTAATCTGACACTTGGATAAATGGGACTGAATTCGTTGGATACCTAGGTCTTTTCCAAATAGAATGGAGTGCTAAAGGATTGATTACTGAATGTAGGTTTGCACTTTTGACTTCTTATTGTGAAGAATATAAGAAACTTTGGGTCTATCGAAAGACATGCTTTGTGCTTAATTGATTCATGAATTTGCCATCTAAAGAACTCTGATGTAACAGTATACAAATAGTTACTACTTAGTCTCCCCTGGAGACTAAGGTTTTTAAGAGTCAAAATTCTGCTAAACATAATTAAGACTGATGGAAGTAAGGAAAGCAACTGTATATGTAAAACAGTAGGAGTGTGTAAAAAAGAGAGAAGAAATGAAAAAATATTTTTTGTTGCAGGTCAAAAGAAAGTAATTTTGTCCTAAATGAAACTGGCTTGGAGAAAAATGGCCTGGGACAAAATTTAAATGCAAAGCAAAATTGTAGAAGGTTCATGAAGGGAAATCTTTGGAAAGGAATTTTATGTGTGGTTAGGATACACTAGGTTGTTTTGAATGGCTTTTTAAAAGTATACTGGTATGAGGTTGAAATTCTGCTTGTCTCTCTGTTCAAAACACAAAGTTTTTTGGATTGTTCAGCTCTTGATAAAAAATTAGTAATAATAATAATAATACTATACAAATGATTGTTTTCTCTTTTGTTTCCTGGGAAAATCACGGCTTTAGGTTATGTCTTTATCAGGTCTTTGATCACTTAGTTAAACTTCTCACTGTTAAAGGGGCGAAGTTTTGATGAGAACTACATACTCCTACATATTTGCCTTTGGAATCTCTTATTGCCATCTTGGTTAAATACATAATTTAAGGCTGTAAGATTTGTAATGATCTGATTCCTTTTCAGATGTACTCTATAACTTTCTAAAGTTTAACAAACTTCCCAGGATTTAAATTGTAAAGAAAGTCTTTTTGACCAAGGAAGTCTTTTATTTGGTATGTTAAGTGAAAAGCCCTGTTAAATAATGTAAACCTTAGATGATATTGCTTGGGTAAATGCTGGGACTGTTCAAATATATGTGCAATTCCTAAGTCTCTAAATGAATATGGAAAACATATATTTCCTAAACCTGATCTGACAGTTACTAGACACCCACCCCATATACACCTGAAACTCCTGGTTTATTTAAAGGATTGAAAGTCTAATACAGCAGGGGATTTAACTCCAAAATGAAAGAGTCCCTACTAGGTCATATTATCTACTTCCACTGCAATATGGTTAGAGGGGAACACTTCATGGGCTCCTATATCTAAAATAAAACCTGGACCCCCTTCACAGGAATTCAGTGAGGAAACTAATGTGCCTGCATATTCCTGTGAACCTGTGCAAGACCTCCAACTTCTCTTAGGATGTTTGGACCTTTCTTTTTCATCCTCCTTTCTCAATGTCTACTAACAGTTCCGTCCTACAATGGGCCATTCAAATGCACCAGCACAGACATTTGAGTTACAAACCAGAAAAATCAATCTGATTCCTGCTGTCTGTTCCCACAAGCATCCGAGGATGCTTCAAGCCTAACATCTAAAAACTCTCATGGCAGCACTGGGAGATACTGGTTTGTAATCTGCTCTAACCATTTACTTGTATTTATCTTGTTTCCTTAAATGTACCTGCTATTAATTCCCTGCTTGCTTACTAAACAAAACAGAGTCTATATGATGGGTATACACCACCTGTTACAGAGATAAGGCCTTAAATGACTTTCAAAATACCATTATATTACTAAATACTAAAATAACTCAAACTCATAAAACACTTCTACAAAACAGATGCATGAGATGTTTTAAGTGCTGCACAAGGTGGAACGTAAACTCTCCTAAGAACAAAACAGTGTGTGTATACATTCCAGAGTAGCTCAAAAATATTTCTTGATTTATAACTGTCCTGAATACTCAAATTGGCATAATAAATAACCCCTGTCTTTACTTTAGTGATGGGCTAAACTCTTGGACTGGAGCATTTTGGTTAGATGCCAAAGGACTTTTCATTTGAGCTAACTTTCTAGCTATTCTAATTATGTTTTGCTATTTTCTCCCATGTCTTTCTGCCTGGTGACAAGACTCCATCACTACAATAACTTCAACCCAACAGATGGTCCTTTTTACTCCAGGATGATCGTACTCATTGTCCACCTTGGATTCAGCTCCCTCTGCCTTCTGTAACTCTTCTCTATGTTCCCCAAATGATCAGTATTGTCTCATGGGTAGGGACCTCTCTACGCCCCTCCTGAGCAAGAGAAGCTACAGAAGATGAGTTCTTCCACCTCAACAACCTTAAAGATGTAAGGGTCAGAATTGTTTATGGGGGAATATGATGAGGGAGCATAAGGCAAGCTGAGGGCAAAGTACAAGCTCACATTATCCCTTTCCACCTCAGGTGGGATGTGTGTGACATTCCTCAGGCCTTGAGCTGCCCAAGAACAAAGGAAAGAAAAAGTATGGTTAACTGATAGAGATCACAGTCCTGCAAGGCATGAGTCTCCATCAGTTTACAAATATCTTAGTAAATTAGAAGAAAAAGACAATCTTATCAATAGCCTAATCTCCAGACACCTATAGACTCAGTTTCCTGGAGCCCCACGTCATCCCTCATAGTAATATGAGAAAGAAAGGCAAGAAGGAAATGGCTGGTAACCTTAAGCTTCCTGATAACCTGTAGCCCATTGACTAATACTTGAGGCTGGCAGGGAACATTTTTCCAGGAACTCCCTACTGTCTAAATGTTAATGCTTTGCTGGAGGGAAAAGTACCTTAGCTTGACGATAGCTAGGTCACCAGTATTCTGTAAATCATCATTAGCATATGAAAATCTATTAGAAAACTTCCCTTGACTTTACCTTCTCCTACGCCGGAGTATATAACCAGTCACTTTTCACAACCCAAGTGCAGCTCTTTCTGCCCACGGGTCCTGTCCCTGTGCTTTAATAAAATCACATTTTTACACCAAAATGTCTTCACATTCTTTCTGGGCCCTTGGCCCAGACCCTCCATTACCCCAAAACTTCATCACTTAAGTGGTGGTGAGAGCACCTTGGCCCCCCAACCCTCTACAGCTGCCTGGTTCTGGCTGGGCCTCTGCCATTGGACCTGCTGCGGGTGGCTGAACATGGGTGTGAGAAGTGTCCCATCAGTGTGCTAGGAGGCAAGGGGAAGTGGTGGTTGCTGCTGGTCTGGGTCTAGGCCTGGAGTTGGGAGCTAGAGGTGTTTAGTCAGAGCTGGACTCTGCTTCTGTGGCTTCCATCTTTTTCTGGGGACCACGTTTCCTGCAAGTGATGCTATAGGAGCCTGCCCTTTGCTCTTTTCCCTCTCTGAAGGCCCAGAGATCAGAGACTGGGGACTGGGGGACATGTGTTTATTTAGCAAGCTAGGCGGGGTTCCGTGAGCAGGGCAGCATGGGGAGGAGCTGGTCGGCTGTGCAATGAGAAGGGTCTCCAGGCTCTCTCAGTGGTGTCCAGGCTGGTGGGGACAGCTGGCTGGTTCCCTGGGGAGAGATTGGCATAGCAGGATGGGGAGGAGAAAGCCAGTGGGCACCTGAGAGGGAGTCGGGGGAATAGAGAGAGCAGCAGTGCTGGGCAGGTGGGACAAAGGCAGACCTGGGACCCCCTCCCAGCTGCACCCTGGCTCCCATCAGCCCCTGCTCCAGCCATACTTACCTCATGCTCACTCACTCATCGATGCACTGATCTGTGGGAGACAGAGTGGTCATCATGGGCAGGAGTGTGTCTGTGGGACCCCTGACCTCCAGGGCCCCTGAATTGCCCCTGGGCTGCCCTGGACCCCAGGCTGGCTCAGCCACAGAAGCTCTGGGGTTCCCTTCAGACATGGTACAACAGAGGGCTGGATGATGGGCAGGGGACTGGGGGACAGGCCTGAGGATAAGCAGACCTGGGTGACACCCATTCTCCAAAGGAGGCAGGTGAGGCCCAGCCACCCTCCTACTTGGGCACCAAGCCTCCTTCCTGTTTACCTGCTGAGCCCTGACAGCCCCTCAGCCTTGGGGAGGCACCTGCCCAGGCCAGGCTGCCTGAGGACAAGGGTGCCTCCCAAGTCAGTGGTGAGCCAGGCCCAGGACAAAAGGGGAGGGGGCCCAGGAGAAACAGGCCTGGATGGAGGGGGAGGTGGCCAGGCAAGGAGACTGAGGAAACGTGGCCCCAGGTGTGCAGTGCTCACGTGGGCAGGCCTGAGCTATCGTGAAAGAGGAACACTTGGGGCCCAGAGCCCTTGTGTTGTGGCAGGGTCTTCCTGAACCCAAAGTGGCTCCTGGGGCTCCAGTGACCACAGCCGGGGCCAGCGTCCCTCCTCTCCCCTCTTCCCTGGTTAGGCAACATCAGGCCTGGACAGTCCCCATCGGCCTTCTCTCCCCAGCTGGTGATTACCATTGGGGATAGGGAAGACGATGTGCTCATCGGTGAGGCCCAGGGATTTGGCGAAGCCGATGAAGTTCTCCTTCAGCTCAGGAGTCAGCTCCTTGGTCCTCCCTGTGGCCAAGATGGCTGGTGAGTGGCTGGCGAAAGCTCCATGTATATTGTTGAACATATGAACCATGCTTTAGACCTCTCCCTCCTGAGGGGTTCTGTGGAAAGACCACTCTCCTGCCTCCAGGGGCCCAGGGTGAAGGGACCTTGGGGGTTGGGTGCGATGGGCCTCTTCTCCCCCAGCATGGCCAACAGCTGGGTCCTAGAGGGCTTAAGACTCACCATAGAGGGTGATCTTGAAGAACTCCTGGTTTTTGTAAACTTTCTTGAAGAACACCGTGGCAACTTTGTTGTAGTCTGTGGTCACCACTCGTACCGTGTAGCTCTGTATTCCAGGGTAACCTGCATGATGGATGGTGAGGAATCAGCCCTCTGTGGGCCTGGCAGAGGGAGCTATTGCTTCCTCCCCTGGCACCACAGAATGTTGTCTGTGTGGAGCAGCAGGGAGGTCCGTGCCCCCGAGGGACCCACCCCACGCAGGACTCACGCTTAATGTTGCCCAGGTTGAATTGTCCTGGCTGGAAACTTGGGACAAATGTTCTGATCCAGTGGTCACAGCGCTGGTTCCTGTGGAAGCAAGAGATGGGTGGGTAAAAGGGTGACAGCCCACTGTGCCACAGAAGGAGATACGCCCCCCACCCCTCAGATGGGACTGGCTCTTCCCCACTGAGCCCATCCCTCTCTGTCCCTGACTACTCTGCCCTGAGGCACCTGACCTGCTCAGACTCTCCCCCCAGCACCTGCTGTCCTTCCATGGGGCTGTTTCCCCTTGGTGGCCTTCCTTCCATACTGTCACTTTCACCTGAGGCATTTGTCTCCTATTCTTTTTTAAAAAATATTTTAAATGTTCATTAATTTTTAAGTGGGGGAGGGGAAGAGAGAGAGAGACACAGAATGCAAAGCAGGCTCCAGGCTCTGAGCTGTCAGCACAGACCCCTACCGGGCTCAAACTCAAGAACCATGAGATCATGACCTGAGCCAAATCCAGAGGCTTACCCTACCAAGCCACCCCGGTGTCCCTGTCCCCAATTCTTATCTTGAGGCTTCTTGCTGTAACCTCTTCCGAGGGAATCACCACCCAGGGTCCAGTCTGCTGGAGGCCAAAGACTCCCTTAGCTGCTATGCCAATCCTGACCTCTCGCCTGCATCCCATTCGATCCCCTGGGAACCCAGAGCCGATTTTCCCACACCTGCTCTTCTTCTGCTCTCTCCATCACAAATGCTCTAGCCGCATCCCCAAGTGCTAGAGACAGAAACCCAGAGGAGCTGGGAAATCTTTGGCTCCTCTCTCTAGGTCCTAATCTGTCCCTGCTCTGGTCATCTCCCACCTATGACTGATCAGCCTTCTGGGCTGCACACCATCATTCCTGTCCTTGCTGCAGCCAGACCCGCTCCTCACCAGTACCTGAGGCCCCTGCCACTGTGGCCACTCCCCACTCCAGACCGCTCATCAGCTCCTGCTCAGGGCAGCCGTGCGATGGCTTGCTGTTTCTTGAAAAAGTGGCTATCTCTGACTCAGTCCGCCAGCCCTTCCACTTGCTTCCTCAAGGCCCAGCCCACAGACCACTTCCCTGAAAGCCCTTGACAAAGCCCTGGTGGGATCCCAGGCTGGATCCAGTGACCCTCCTCCCATCTAGGACACCCTTGCTCTATTTAGGAGAGAGTCTGTGTCCATCCCCAGTACTGTCTTGTGTCTGTGGTGAAGTGACCAAGAAATATTGATCTAGTGAATGAGAGAAGGAATAAATAAAGGGTTCGTGTACTCAGCGGTAGGATGAATGATCATCTTTCAGCTTTGGTGACCCCTTGGCTATGACATCAGTCTGCTTCTTGGTCACCCACGGCAGTCCTCTAGGCCCCCCATGCTCCCCTAGGAGGTGGTGGCTCTCACCGTAGCAGGGTAGAGGTGACATTGTAGCTGCCGTCTTCATTCAGCTTGTAGGTGGTGGCATACATCTTCAGCTGGCTGTGTGTTTCTCTGTTAAATGCGTTCCCTGCCACTCCTAAGACGTACCATTTTCCCTGGAACTATAGTGGGAGCTGATGACAGGCAGAGCCAGGAGCAGCCTCAGGGACCCTCCCGCTCCATGCCTGCAGGCACCCCTAGGCAGCCTGGCCCTGAACAAGAAGCCCCTCTAATGGGGCTGCTAGAACCCAGACTGGCCACACAGGCTGTGCTGATGAAGCCAGCGGGAGCTGGTCCCATTAGGACAGGTTGGAGCCCTGGGTGTGTCAGGAACAGAGTGACCCTTGGCAAGTGGCCAGCTGGCGTCCCTGAGCCTCAGTTTCCTCACCATGTAGAGGGCCTGAAGATGTTCCCACATTGCATGTACTGCAGGGATTATGGAAGAGAATGTGGACCAGGGAAGTTCTGCTCAGTTGACCTTCTTGTCATCAAGGTTGGGTGTGGATGGGGGCTTGGGGTGTGCCTTTCATCAGGGGACCCGAGGGCAGACTGAGCTGAAGCCCGAGCCCCTCCTCCCCTCTGTTCACACTCATCCCGGGGCCTCCCTGCAGCTGTCACTTCCGGCTCCTTACCTGGTCATCCTGGAAGTCAGGCTGCAGAGGGACCCTTAGCAGAGGTGGGGCTGGGATCAGGTTTGGGGTGGAGTCCTGGGCCTGGGTGTGCAGGGCCCCCCACAGGGCAAGGCCCAGCCACAGAAGACACTGGGCCATGAATTCAGGGCGGAGGAAGCAGGCACTGCTCTGGATATCAGCTGAAAGAGGAAGTGAGTGAGGAGTTTTCTGGGGACCTTTTTATGGTCCTCCTGGGCAATGGCTCACCCCAGGGTGGAGCGACTTATCCTTTGCCAAATCCAGGAAGGGCGAGGCAGTTGCCAGCAACTCATGCTGAAACTTTTGGCAAGCTCTCTGCCTTTACCCCACATCAGGATTATGCAAGGGGGAGAGGGGCAGGAAGGTCGGGAGTGTGGTGAGGTGTTCCCCATATCTCCACATCTCTGGCAGGGTCAGTGACTCCCTCCACAGTCTCTTCCCCCCGGTTAGCACTGTGTGTGGTCAGGGGTCTCAGATCTGGACCAACTGTCATGTCTGACCTCCAGGTGCCTCTCTGCTGGGGTTCAAGTGCAGGGTGGGGTAAGTGTGGTGGGGCCCCCCTCCCTGCACCTGATGAAAGCAGAGAATGCCTCACACCAACAGGGCCCATGCTGCTTTGTGGTTCTCCAAAGGGACAGGGAAGGGGAGGTAGTTGAAAGAGGACATTCCTGGCAAGGAAGGAAGGACAGAGTGTACCCTGTGCTGCTCATAGAGCCCAGAGCCTGGGCCTCCCAGGGACCTGCACCTGGCCTTGGCCCAGGGTGAGACACCCTTTCCTTCCCCCCACCACCAAAGGTCTACTGGGAATGTTACTGATGAGGGAGCATAAGGCAAGCTGAGGGCAAAGCACATGCTAGCTTGCCCCTCCCCCAGGCAGGATCTGTTTGACATTGCTCAGGCCCTCCTGGCTGCCCTAGAACAAAGGAAAGCGAAGACATCAAATGGTTAACTGATACAGATCACAGTCCTGCAGGACATGACTCTCCATCAGTTTACCCATGTCCTAGTAAACTAGGAGAAAAAGAGAATCTTATCAATCTCCCAATTTCCAGAAACCTGTACTCAGTTTTCTGGAGCCCTAGCGTCATCACCAGCCCCTCCCATAGTGATGTGGGGAACAAAGGCAAGAAGGAAATTGCAGATCAATTTCTTTAAGACCTGCAGCCCGTTTACAAACTCTTGAGGCAAATATGGAGTATCACACTTCTCCAGGGATTTCCTCTTGTCTCTTGAGCATATAAAATCCCTTTAGAAACTTCCTCATGACTTTATCTCTCCAACCCCAGGGTATATAATCAGTCACTCTTCACAGCCCTTGCGCAGCTCTTTCTGCCCTAGGGTCCTGTCCCTGTGCTTTAATAAAATCACCTTCTGTGCACCAAGGATGTCTCAAGAATTCTTTCTTGGCCATCATGTTCTAACCCCTACCATTCTAAAGCCTCATCATTCCCGCCTTGAGTCAGCCCCTCCCCTCCTCCATGCCCCATTGGCTGGGTGGAACCAGACCTCAGCTGGCCTCTAAAGGATCAGTGGCCCAGTGGACGGGAACCCCAAGCTGGGAATACCAGCCACCAATGAGACAGCTGGACATAGCAGAGCTCTGAGGCTACAGTCCCAGTTACATCCCGGTGGGGATCGATGAAGGACATGCATCTGCACTGTGTAAAAAGGGGGGGGGCCAAGGGGGGCTCTCTACCTTGCCATTCTGGACACTGGGTACTTTGGGTCACAGTGAGTGCAAAGTACTCATCCTTAAGAGATCACTTGATACCACCTGCCATCTCTGGCCATGGAGAGATGGAGCTGTGGAGCACAGGGGCCTAGGCCTTGGCCCCCAGAAGTGTTCCTGCAGTGGGTGATCCCAGCTTTGTCCTGGAGGGAAGCAACTTCCTCATGGGAGCTTGGCTGTCCATGGGAGGCAGCTATGGGTCCCAGCCCCCAGGCAGTGTCTCCTAGTTGTCACCATGAGGGCTGGGCTGGAGCTGATGAAATGTCTAACCTGAGGCTGACCTGACGGCTCACAGATGAGACTCCCGGGGACCTCAGTGGCTCTTCCACCTGCTACAGGGGAAACAGCTCCCCTAGGCTCGGCTTTGGGTGGTGGGCCCTGAGGGAAGGGATTCTGGGGGTCCTGAGGTGGTGGGTAGGGGATGCCTTTCACCTCCCTGATGCCAGAAAGGCCCATAGGATCCCTGCCCCCTCAGGCCTGTCAGGGTGATGAAAGGGCAGGAAGTGAGGATGGACAAAGCCTTGGGGTATGATGTTGCCATCAAAGCCCAAGTGCCCTTGAAGGTACCAGTGGCCACCCCCCACCCCTCTCATCCCCACTCACAGCTCCGGGAACTCCACCCCTGCTCCTCTTTGACCTTAAAAGTACCTGAGTTTGCATGACTACTAGATGTGAGGGAGACTGATGGCTAGAGCTCCAGAGAATTTTTTTTTTTAGTTATTAATTTTGAGAGAGATAGAGAGAGCACAAGCTGGGGAGAGACAGAGAGAGAGAGAGAGAGAGAGAATTCCAAGCAGGTTCAACACTGTCAGCGCAGAGCCCGACATGCAGCTCCATCTCATGACCATGAGATCGCGACCTGAGCCAAAACTAAGAGTCAGATGATTAAACAACTGTGCCATCCAGGCACCTAACTAGGAGAGAGGCAGTGCTCTGGATCACCAAGGAGTCACTGGACAGAATATTCTCGACTTGAAATGTCATGAGGTAGAATGTCCAATGCTCCTTTGGTATTAATTCATACCTCTGCTCACCAGGGTATGAGTTGGGGAGGGCTTAGGGCCTGGTCTGCAGCCTGAGAAAACCAGGGTCAGGTGCAGGAAGGGACAAGGCCCAGCTCATGGGCCCCTGTTTGAAACCTGACTCCTCTAGGAGCTGGCCACCCATTGCTGGTTTGCCCCTCTGTAAAGAGAGCTGCAAATGAACCATAAGAGACTCTTAAATAGAGAGAACAAAGTGAGGGTTTTGGGCGGGGTGTTGGACATTAAGGAGGTACTTGTTGGGATGAGCACTGGGTATTATATGTAAGTGATAAATCACTAAATTCTATTCCTGTATTATTACACTATATGTGAACTAACTTGGATTTAAAAGTGAGAGAGAGAGAGAGAGAGAGAGCTGCCCCATGGATTCTGTGAGGTGTTAAAAAGAAAACCACAGGCCCAAAATGGATTCACTTATGTTAAGGGCCCACATCTGCGAGCTAAGACCTAGTGCCTAATCTCACTGCAGTTTCAGTCCCCTGCCCCCACTATGTAACCTTTAACTGATTGGATTGGAATTTTCTGGTCAGCTCGTTGAAACTTACTGATAGACCCTTTCTGTTTCCTTTAGGAGGGTAAGCTTGCCTAAAACAATGGATTCTTTGATAATAATTTCCTTTTCTCTGTTCCTTCTCTACCTTTAAAAACTTTTCCTTTTCTGCAGCTCAACAAAGCTCCTCTCTGTTTGCTAGAGGAGCAATGATTCATGAATCATTCAAGAAAATAAATTTGATGTTTTAAATTACTCAGTTGAATTTTTGTTGTTTAGTGGAGGCCTTGCACACACACATACACGGGGTGTCTGCATGAGTCCATCTTGGAGTTTCTGACCAAACCCATTCTCTCTGTGCTGACTCCAGCCTTATCTCAGGCGCACTGGCCTTGTCTCTCTGTTCTCATCTCTGTGTGGTCTTGGCCTCGGCTGACACCTGGTGAGAGCCATCTCATTCCCCCTTCCTCACCTAGCTGCCTCCTCCCTCCTCTGCTGGCTCAGCCCAGGAGCCGAGGGAGGGGAGAAAAGTGAAGGAGGCAAGGCCTGTCCATGGATTTGAGGCTCAAGGGTGTGCAGTGTCCCAGCCATACTTTGTGGGGGCCCAAGGAGTCATGGCCATGGCTGGGGCAGAGGTCAAGCCAAGCTGTGGCCAATCCCAGCCAACAAGATGGGGGTACTGGGCTGGTTGGAGCTGGAGGGAGGGGACCAGCTGGGTGTGCCCATTGCCTTTGGCCGTAGGAAGGGAAGAGTCCTGCGGGCTGGGCTGGGGATAAAGGTAGAGGTCTTCCCCCCCTCCTCAGAGTCCAACAGGGCTATAGGGAGAGGGTCAGCTCAATATGCACACATGTCAGTTGAGACTCAGCACCCAGAGGGATGAACAGGGACCATGGTATGGACCTTCTGCTTGGACTCAGGCCAACTCCAAGGGCTCCAGGGTAGATAGGACCCTGAAGGCCACACCATTCACCCGTGTGAACCTATAACAAGCCACACGGAAGTTTTAGGGCCAAGCCCCCTCCCCGGGGAAAGCCAGGGCTGGGCCTTCTAACCCAAACTCTGGGTCTCTACAGGAATAGCAGAAACTTAAAAGGCATCCACACCTATGCTGCTCTGTGGCAAGAAGCCAGGAGAACTCCAGCTGCTCCAGACCTCCCCCACTGTCTCCGGAAGGTGGTTCTCCCCACGCCACATACCCAAGAGGAGAAGCTCCAACGGACTGCAGTGGCTTGTCCTCCCATAGAGGTACCCAGGCCCCACCTCTTGTCTAATCACCCAGGGGAGCAGCAAAATTCTCTCTGGCAGGCACTGCGTCTCAGGAATCCCGTCTAACCCCCCGGACTGGTTTCTAGAAGCCTGTGAGCTGTGTCCAGCCCAGCCCACATTAGAGACACAAGCAGCCCTCTCTCCCCTGCGTGAAGGCTGGGCAGGACGTCCCCAGGGAAGAGGACAACTGGGCTTCTCAGAGCCCAGGACCATACATGGGAGGAGCCTCCAAACGAGATGCCCCCGGGAGGCCAGTCACGGCAGCAGCTCTTGGTGTCCACAGATGCGCCCACCGTGGCCCCCGCAGGCCCAAACACCCTGGAGGGGGAAGGCCTGCTCCTCCAGAGCCCTGGCTTGAGTTTCTAGTTTCCAGGAGCAGTTTTCCAACTGCAGTGCCTCACCTGTCATGGTAAGGCTCCCCAGGGGGCCTCCGGGATATCCTGGCTCCTGCGCCTTCCACCCCTCGGGGACTGTGCCTATGGAAAAGCTCTGAAAGGCAGTCCCTCCCTACATCTCCCACAATACACCCGCTGGGTTCCTCCCTCTGCAAAGGTCCTTTGGGCCCACAGGGCAGGGGGCAGCAGGCCCGGCCATACAGGATCTGGGCCCAGGACTGCCTTATCAGCCTGGCCCTTAGGTACCTGGCCCAACCACGCCTCCTAGCTGGGTACCTCAGCCCTTTACTCCCGGACCTGAGCTCCCTTGCAGGCTAGAGGGCCCATGAAGACCACAGTGGGGAGTAGAGGCCACTGTCCTGGGCAGGGTCTGCAGCGGGCGTCAGGCTTCTAGCAGGTGGTGAGTCGACACTGGGCTCCCGTGGACCTGGACAGGAGGTGCCTACCTCTGCTGGCAGGGTCCTGGGGCTATTGAGACCTCTGCTCCTCCCAGCTCTCCACCCTTCCTGTGCGGGCTCCAGTCCAGGAAAGGGGATCTCCACCTTGGCCACTCCTGGGTCACCCCCATGCTCCCTGCCCCCCTTGGCTGGGCCTCTACTGGACACCATCAAAGGGGGCTTGTGTGAGAGTATGAATCTGGCTCTCCCAAAAGGCTGGTTCTCCTTTGTACCTTGAAGCCAGGGGGAAGGGGAATGAATTCCAGAAGGGTGAAAAGACAGCAAATGTCTGGGAGGCGCTCAGGCTCCTGCCGAAGGTCCTCCTGGGTGCTCTGGGGGCAGAGCGGCAGCCCTTCTGCCCCTCCCCATTCATCCCTGGTTGAGGAAGGTTGGGTTCATGGTGGATTCTCCTCATCCCCAGTGCTTATTTTATCAGCTGCGTCACTCCCTCTGGGAAGGGGGTCATGAGCAAGGCTGTGACAGGCAGTGAGAACAAGGTCAGACCCAAAGGCAGAGCGCATCCAGCTTTATAGGGAGAAGGGGTGACTTGGGATCAGCAGAGAGTGGGGTGAAGGGCCAGGAGGCTGGTGCAGGGGGTGGAGGAAACGCCGAGAACATACACTGAATCCTCTGCAGAGGCTAGAGAGTACAGGTCTGGGTGCCTCCCTCTGGGCCCAGAGCCCTTCAGGTTTTGGGTGGGCACTGGCCTCCCCTCAGGTCAGCTCAGCTGCAAGTGACCCCCCCTAATTGCTTGGCCAGGACTGACTGGGGTTTTCCATGGCTCCTCATTCTCTGCTCATACCCCTTGGTTCCCATTTACGGGACTGAACGCTTAGGTCATAACCACTTGTATGTTGGAACCTAATCTTCAGTGTAGTATGGGGGGGGGAGGCTTTGGGAGGTGATTAGATAATAGGGGCGGAGCCCTTATGAGGGGGATTAGTGCCCTTATGAGAGACCCCAAAGAGCTTCTTTGCCTCTTCTGCCATGTGCAGACAGCGAGAAAGCAGCCATCTATGAACCAGGAATCAGCCCTCAGCAGACACTGAATCTGCCAGTGCCTTGACCTTGGACTTCCCAGCCTCCAGAACTGTGAGAAATAACTTTCAAAAATTTTTTTATTTGAGGGGCACCTGGGTGGCTCAGTTGATTAAGCATCCAACTTCAGCTCAGGTCATGATCTCATAGTTCATGAGTGAGTTCGAGCTCTACATCAGGTGAGTTCGTGCCCTGCTCTGGGCTCCGCCCTCCACACTCTCTCCCCCTTTCTCCCTCTGCACCTCCTGAGATTCTCTCTGCCCCTTGCTCACTCACGCTCTCTCGCTCTCAAAAATAAATAAATGTATTTAAAGAAATTTTATTTGAGTACAGCTGACACACAATGTTACATTTCACATGTACAACACAGTGATTCAATATTTCTATAAATTATGCTATGGCCTCAAGTGCAGCTACCATCTGCTGCCAGGCAAGATCATGGACTATATTCCCTATGCTACCCTTGAGAAATAAACTTCTTTATGTGGAAACTAATTTGACAATAAACTATTTGTAAAAAAAAAAAAAAAAAAAAAGAAATAAACTTCTGTCCACCTAGTCTGTGGTATTCTGTTAGAGACTGAGAGAGTCACCTCCCCACACCTCTGGATCTCCCTGTCCTGGGCCACCTTTCCCCCAACCCCCCTGGAGACCCCTGTCTTGGGCCACCTCTTCCCCCACATCCTCTGGTCTCCTGCTCAGCCATACCCTTGACCTTCTCTCCAAAGCACCTCTCCAAACAGTGACTTTCCAACTTTCAGCATCTTCTGGATAGGCTGATTATTTCCCAAATCATCAAACTACTGCAAGAAATCACCACGAACTTCTTGGGTTAAATGAACACATTCCAAAGGCCAGAATCGAAAATCAGTTCACTGTGCAGGGCCGCCTGGGTGGCTCAGTCGGTTAAGCTGGACTCTTGATTTCGGCTCAGGTCATGAGCTCACAGTTCATCAGTTCAAGCCCTACATCGGGCTCCGTGCTGATGGTGCAGTCTGCTTGGGATGCCCTCTCTCTCTCAAAATAAATAAATAAACGTAAAAGAAGAAAAAGAAGTTCACTGTGCCAAAATCAAGGTGTGGGCAAGGCCGCACTCCCTTCAGATGGTCCAGGCGAGGGTTCCTCACCTCTTCCAGTTTCTGGCGGCTGCTGGCATTCGCTGGCTGTGGCCCCCTGCCCAAACCTCTGCCTGTCTTCACATCACCTTCTCCAGTGTGTGTGTAATCGCACTCGCCTCGCTTACGAGCACACCCGTGATGACAGGGAGGGCCCACCCAGATAATCTGGGATGACCTCCTCCTGTTACAATCCCACCTCATTTAAAAGGCGGAACAAGAGGCAAAGAAATTAAAGAAAAAAGGAGAAGGAAAAGAAGGGAAAGGCCAATCATTCGTTTTAAATACGTCTTCTACTATTAAAACATCGGTCAGCTGTGAGAATTTTCTTCTTCTCTTAGAAATCTGAAAAACGAATGCACTCTGTGCCATATCATGAATCAGGGCTGGGAGGGCTCTGCGGTCCCTTCCAAGCCCCCGGCGCGGCCCAGATGCCCCTTCCCAGGAGGCAGCCTTGAGAAAGAGATGGTCGCCTCGGCAGTACCCGGAGTCAACCGCTTCCCCGAAGCCGTCGTCCTCGCGTTCGGCGCCCGCTTCCCCGCGCATGCCCAGGTCCCCGCTGGGGCCCGACAGCAGCTGCGGGCTCCGGCGCCGCGGCGACCTTCCCAGCCGTCAGCCCGCGGCGGGCGGAAAGCGCGGACGCCTGGCACGCCGCGGGAGGCGCAGCGCGGCACCACCCGCAGGAACGCCGACGCCCCGCCCCGTCTGCGCAGCGCCAGCCCCGCCCCGCTCCCGCCAGACTCCGCCCTTCACGCCCAGCGCTCCGTCGCCGCGCAGCCCAGCTCTCGCGCTTTCTCCCGCGAGCCAAGCTCTGTCCCCGCCCCACCATCAGACTCCGCCCCCTCCCGCTCACAACCTGACCCGCCTTCGGATCTCAGCCGCTTCTCCGAGCCACGCCCCTCCCCCAGCTGCCGTCCGGCCTTCCGGGACTGCCCGCCGAGTAGCCTAGGTGGTGGGGGCTGAACCTTCAGCTACGGCGAGCAGGCCCCGCAGAGGGGCAGCGACAGCCTCCACTCAGCCCATCCTGCCGCTGGAGACCTAAGGGTCAGGGAGCCGGCGCCTCCGCTAGGGAGAAATCTGAGACACGTGGTTTCCCAGGCCCCTTACGTGTGTGGAAGAATTTATGGTTCGGGACGCAGACGAAACGGTGCAGCAGCGCGGGAGGGCAGAAAGAGCCAGAGTTGGGGCGCCAGGTTTGGTCCGGCTGTTTCCGCGGCCCTCCTGGACCCAATGCTGTGACCCTTTTTCTGACACTCTGAAGGGTTCAATGCCTTTCGATTCGGTGCATGAGGTAGAAGTTAATAAACACACATTCCGGACGACCCTGGGACCCAAAGGCCACACGGCGAGTTCCTGCATTCGGCCCGGGCTCACCACCGACACGTTATAGCTCGTGTTCAGAAGTCGGGCCTTTAGCGACTCCCAGACATCCCAGGGTGTGTTTCAGCGGGTGCGTGGAAACTGGGCGCCCGGGACCCAAGCCCGTTCCCACTAGAGCTGTCCTTCCCAGCACAGCGTCACTGTCACCCCTAGCAACCCTCCCGCGACGGAGACCTGCCCCTTTAAGGGGAGCCTGAGACCCGGTGGTCTTCGTTTCGCGCGCCCGCCCGCGGCGCCGGCGGAAAGAACATGGCCCAGGTTGCGCGGGCGCTGTGGCCGGCCCGGCACGCGGTGGTCTGGAGGCTGGGCGGTCGCCCCCAGTCGGCACTCCCCGCGCAGAGCCGGGCCGGCTTCGCAGGAGCTGCAGGAGGCCCGGGCCCCGCCGCTACCACCCGCAAGGGGAACCCGCGGCTGCTGGGGGCGGCGGCGCTGGCCTTGGGGGGCGTCCTGGGGCTGTACCACACCGCGCGGTGGCACCTGCGCGCCCAGGACCTCCGAGCCGAGCGCTCTGCAGCACAGGTAAACCCGGACCGGACCGAGCCGCGGGCAGGGATGCTGGGGTCAGCAACGAACTTCGGGACTTCTGGTGGGGTCAGGTATCGCCTCCTCCGTTCGTGACCTTGGACGAGTGACTTGGGTTTAAGTCTCTGAGCCCATAGCGTCTTCATCTGTGAAATGGAGTCGCTCCTAATGCCTCCTAACTAGAATTGATGTCTTTGCCCTAAAGTCGTTTTCTAACATGTTTTGAGACTTTTTAACAGAAAGCTTTGGAGATCACAAGAAAGGGAAAGAAAGCTTTCAGAGTTTATTACTTTCCATACATTTTTGTCATTTTTAAAGTAATAAACTTTCCCTAAACCCTTCCACTGCCTTCAGATCCTAAGTTTGTGTACTGATTAGTGTTAGTGTTTTTAGGGAACCGATGACCCTTAGATTCCAGGCCTACCCTCCCCCAACAGAGAGGGACAGGGAGGTGTCCCCTAGTCGACTGGTGGGCCAGCTGCCCTCGCAGTGCTCTGTACACATTACCAACACAGCCTTTCTCTGCTGTCGCAGAGAATGGCACCCACCATCCACCCGCAGATGCCCCTTCTCTGGACCCAGGGGAACAGGATGGTAGAGGGGAGTGTTCTCTGTCTCTCTGCCCACCTGCATTGGCCGGCTGCAGTTTCCCATCTGAACGGTGCGGTGCAGAAGGTGGACTGCAGCTGCGGCTTTCAGGCATGAATATGCAGCAGCAAAAGCTCACCTGAGGCTTACCCGCTGAACCTGCAGATCAAGGCTGAGGCCCAGCTACAAGCCTCCCCACTTGGAGATCTGAGCTAGACCCCACTCTGGCAAATGCAGGGCTCCGCCTCCTCACCCAGAGGTCCCTTGGGTTGAGGAAGTGGGGGGTAGGCACTCCCAAGTTGAAACAATTGCTCTGCATCTCCGGTGACACATGTCCCCTGGGGATGCCTGATGTCCCCTTGGGAGAGGAGGGAGGGGAGAGGTGTCTGTCTAATGTTGAATAGGGCCCGGAAGATTCATTCTACTCACCTGCAGAGGGCGCTGGATGGATGCTTGAGGCTGGACTGCCCACCGCACCCCTCCTCCCTGTGCCTCCCTTTCTTTCTCTCTGCCTCCTGTGCCCCCATTCCTCCTGATGTTCTCCGGGAGTCATTCTAGAAGGATCCCTTGGGAAAAGTTTGCTTGGGGGTCGGGCCTGGGCACCAGGCCTCAGAAGCTCCCCTCCCTCTGCTCTCCACCCAGCTGTCCCTGTCCAGCCGCCTGCAGCTGACCCTGTACCAGTACAAAACGTGTCCCTTCTGCAGCAAGGTCCGCGCCTTCCTCGACTTCCATGCCCTGCCCTACAAGGTGGTGGAAGTGAACCCAGTGCGCAAGGCCGAGATCAAGTTCTCCTCTTACAGGAAGGTGCCCATCCTGCTGGCCCAGGAAGGAGAGAGCTTGGTGAGCCTCAGGGAGCAAACCCCCCAACCCAATGTCCTGGGTTTTCCTGGAGTGCCCCGAGTCAGGCCCTGCTGTGTGGCTCTGGGCAAGTATGGGGTCTTTGGGCCTTGCTGAGGATTATGGATTATGAACCAGCTGTGCCCAAAGGAGACAGAGCATCACAGAACTCAACAGTGAGCTCTGAACGCAGGATGGTCTGGGCTCAGGGTGGGGCTCTGTCCCTCACTGGTTGTGTGACTTGGGGCCGGTCACTTAGTCTCTCTGGGCTTGCTTCTTCATTAATCAACGGAGGACCACACTCTTGGGTGGTAGGGAATGGCTGGTACAGTGCTTGGCTTCTAGAATGTAGCTTCCAGAGTCCACCCTGCCCCCCCACCCATTGTCTGGGAGGCCAGGCAGGTGAGTGGGGGGGTCCAAGACCTTAGGTTCTCCCCACGCCCCCCCTCTTTCCCTTTGGCCACAATTGGGTCTCTCTTACCCAGGATGGGCCTCCCTGAGGGTGGGGACTGGGTCCTGTGGGGAGGAGGGGAAAGCTCACTGGGCATCGATTTGGGGGACAGACCTTCAGGGGTGGATGGACAATGCCAAGGTTCCACCAGACCAGTGTCTTTGAATGCCCGGGTGTTTGTTTTAGGAGAATCCTGGTGACCCTGCTGGTGGCCAGGCAGCCCCCCCCCACGCCCTCATTTAAACCGGCCTCTCGTTCTCCAGCAACAACTGAACGACTCCTCTGTCATCATCAGTGCTCTCAAGACCTACCTGGTGTCGGGGTAAGGAGCCCCGCAGAGGCCCAGTCTGGGGTCTCATTTCATCCCTTTCATCTCCAGGGGGGCCTCACCTGGGTTCCTGCAGGGGCGCAGGGTGCAGCTGCTGCCTGGATTTCCAGAATGAGCCTCGGGCTTTTTACTCGGAGACACCCCCTTGCTTTCCTCTGCGCGTCTCCCTCCCTGAGGGAAGTGCTGCGGGTGTTTGCCCCAAGTGCCTCTTGCTGCAGGACTTCCTGTGGGTGGAAGGCTTTCGTGGGTTGGTCCTGGCCCCCCCGACCCCGAGCTGGGTCCGGCTGGGGTAGATATTTACCCTGAGGACATGACGGCTCAGCCCCCCCACACCACCTCCGGGAGGAAAGACTACTTGGGATGAGGCTCTGGGTGTCATCTCCCAAAGGCAACCCCTGGAAGACATCATCACCTACTATCCACCCATGAAGGCCGTGAACGACCAGGGCAAGGAGGTGACCGAATTCTGCAACAAGTATTGGCTCATGCTGGATGAGAAGGAGGCCCAGCGAATGTATGGTGGGAAGGAGGCAAGGACGTAAGTGAGGCCGGGGCGGGTCCCGGGAGGTGGCAAGGGCGGGCTCTTCCCAGAGGGATGGGCTGAGCGAAACATTGTAAGCAGGGGCAGGGGGGACGGGACGGGACTGGACACCAGGAGGGCTGGGGCCGGGGCCGGGGCTGAGCCTCCGCCTCCCCTCCATACACTGTGTGGTCTAGACCGCGTGCCTGCTCCCGCACCTCGCAGGCCCCGGCTTAGGAAGCTCACCTGGCCTGCCCCACTGTCCCCACTCTGTCCACAGGGAGGAGATGAAGTGGCGGCAGTGGGCAGACGACTGGCTGGTGCACCTGATCTCCCCCAACGTGTACCGCACGCCTGCCGAGGCCCTGGCCTCCTTCGACTACATTGTCAGGGAGGGCAAGTTCGGGGCAGTGGAGGGTGCCGTGGCCAAGTACATGGGTGCAGCTGCCATGTACCTCATCAGCAAGAGACTCAAGAGCAGGTGAGGATGGGGTGTGTGTGTGTGTGTGTGCGAGCGCATGTACTCGCGGCCTGCTCTCTGTCAGTCCCTAGTGTAAACCGGGTCAGGACTTGAACTCAGAACTTCAGTTGCCTCCCACCACCCCAGGGGAAGCAAAACAGGCCTCAGCGTCCAGAACCGGGTGCCTGCCTTAAGCCTTCTTCTGTTTCCTTCTCTGTGGTCGGGTCTCTTTCCTCCTTTGGCCACAGCCTCCCTGTTGGGGGCAGGTGATAACTGATTTTTGCAGGGGTGATGCCCCCCAGGGGAGCAGCCCTGGCCCCCAGCCTTGCTGCTTTCCCAGCCTGGGTGGAGGGTTAGAATTCCCCTGCTGGACTTCCGCCTTCCCCACCCAGGCACCACCTTCAGGATGACGTGCGTGAGGACCTCTACGAGGCTGCCAACAAGTGGGTGACAGCCGTGGGCAAAGACCGGCCCTTCATGGGGGGCCAGCAGCCGAATCTGGCTGATCTGGTGAGTGTGGTGGTGGCGAGGGGGGCGCCCAGACCCGAGGGGCCTGCCTGGGCAGGGAAAGCCCAGATGGAGGCAGTACGTACAGCTCAACAGCTCTCCCGCTCCGGAGGCCCCCTGCGAGGAACTGTCTTGATTTACGTAACTGACAGGTTCAGAGGAGGGGTTGGCTTCAGGCCCAGCTTGATCAAGGGCCCCAGACGATATTAGGTCTCAGCCTCTCCTGTTTCATCTCAACCCTTTGGAGTTGGCTCTAGCTTGAGGCAGGCCTGAGTCCAGTGCTCCAGGCTTGCACCCAGCAAAAGTCCGGGGGCGGTGTCTCGTTGGTCTGGTTTCAGTGCCAAGCCTTGAAGCAGTCAGTCCTTCAAGCCAAGGTGGAATATATCGATGGCCAGGCCTGGGTCTTGGAGCTGGATGGAGGGGGGGGTCCCCTCTCCTCAAATCTCAGGACCTGAGAGTGGGGTAGCACACTTTCCCAAAGGAATCTCTCCGGGGCGAGGGCGGGGGGCGGTTCTTGCCTAGATGTGGGGTGTGGGTACAAGGCAGGCAAAACCTATAGAAATCCCACACACTTCACTCAAAGCCCCAAGTGCAAAATTGGCCTCAGGAGAGGTGACGGGCCCCGGGGCACACAACTGGTGGGGGACAGGGTAGGTCTGGACACCCCCTCTGTACCCACCCCCAGGCTGTATATGGCGTGCTGCGCGTGATGGAGGGCCTGGAGGCTTTCGATGACCTGATGCGTCACACCCGCATCCAGCCCTGGTACCTGCGGGTAGAGAAAGCCATTGCTGAGGTCCCTCAGTGACCTGAGAGCCCCAGGAGGGGTGGCAGACAGCGGAAGACCCCGGCCACCGGGACCAGGACCATGGGGTCAGACCTGGTGACGCTGTGCAGTGGGGGGCAGGATCGTTCTGCGTCTCGCCCACCCCCACCCCCACCCCAGCCCCAGCGTTCTAGCATTGAACACCTGCTGAGGCCGTGGGGCGCTGGGGGACAAAAACCCAGGTTTGATTTCTGTTCATAGTCCCCCTGAGGGGCACCCCGGCCCCAGGCGGCCAGCCCACCCCCGCCTCCCTACTTTCAGCCATTCTCTGGGGCTCTCAGTGGCTGCTCTGTCCACACCTCATGGGTGGGAATCGGGTCGGGCTCCTGCCCCGATGGGGGAGGTAGGAATAATCCGGTTTACGGAGGATTTCATCTCTGGCTCCTCCTGCCTCCTGCCCTTCCCAGGTGCCCCTGGGACTCTGTGTCATGTTTGCAATAAAGAAAAGGTTTGCTGCTGTGCTGGGAGTCTGGGGCGAAGTGCTGTGTGGCTGCTGGTTAGGAGAGGCTTCGGGAGAAGGCCCTGCCCAGCGCTGGCGGTAACTGCTCTCTGTCCAGTACCTTCTAGGGGTCAGGCCTGGGGTGAAGGACTTAGCAGGCTTCGTGTCACATAAACCCTGGGGCACCACCACGGGATACACAGCCGGGAGGTTTGAGGTGGCCCAGGGCCCGGAGCCAGTTCTGCCTATCGCTCACTGTGGGACTCTGGGCAGTGACGCCCCTCTCTGAGCCTCAGTGTCCTCATCCGAGTGAGCGTGATGATAGTGTCCACCTCGAGGGGACATTGCGAGGGTTTGTGGGGAGGTGCAGGTCGAGTGTGGAGAAGGACGCCCGGCTCAGAGCAGGGGCTGGAGCGGCAGGGGACAAGGTTCCAAGGACACTGTCCCTTTCAGGGCCCTGGCCTTTCTGGCAGGTGGGCACCCAGGCTTTGGGCCCAGGCCTGCGGCTCCACAGGTAGGGGGCTCTGGGACAGGGGTTCTATAGGGAGAAGCCAGCTCTGGGAGTGAGGGGGGGCAGGTATGAGCAGAGCACCCTGAGTCGGGGGTCCCCATTCCCCTGGTTTCAGCAAATGAAGAGCACAGCAGCCTCCAAAGGCCAGACAGGTGGTCCGTGGGCAGAACTCTACCCCCAGCATCTGACTTCTGCTCAGGTCATGATATCATGGTCCACAGGTTCGAGCCCCGCGTCAGGCTCTGTGGTGACAGCTCAGAGCCTGGAGCCTGTTTTAGATTCTGTGTGTGTGTCTCTCTCTCTCTGCCACTCCCCCACTCATTCTCTCTCTCTCTCAAAAATAAATAAACATTAAAAAAAGAAAAACATAAAAAGAGTTCATGTGCCTCATGATGGCGAACACTGAAATAAGCTAGAGGCCTGATGAGCGCTCCTGAGGCCAAACAGCATAACGAGGCAGTGGCCTCAGTTTCTCCTGCAGAGCTGCTCTGTCACCTGCTTATTCTCGTTCCCATCGCGGGCTTCTGTCCCTGTCAGCACATGTGACACTGGCTTGGTCTTCACAGCCGCAGAGGGCCCAGCTGCATGGATGCGCCGTACCGCTGGCCAGGCCCAGCCACACCAGCGTGGCCCCCTTCCGGTCTCCCTGGGGGTGCCTCTCCTGTGAGAGCAAGGAGAGAAGCCACCTCAGTTTGTGGCATGAGGCCACCTTCAGGAGCCACCCCCGTGTCCTGAAAGGCCTTTGCTCCAGGGCCCGGGGCCCATGGATCCCAGAGCCTCCCTCAGCAGGACAGGAGCTAGGCCAGCAGCGCCGTGGGTCCCCCAGAGAGGACCTTCCCTGCATCCCTGACCCTCTTCCCATTTCCTGCCACCCCACGTGTCCATGACACTGTGGCCATGGGAGGGTCTCACCGCCCACATCCCTGCCCTATGCTCCCTGCCCCTTCTCTCCTGCTCAGCCAGAGGATTGTCTCTGGCCTCGGTTTCCCCACTTGAGGCCTGGTCTGGCCAAGGGGGCCCAGGTGCAGGCCAGGTCCCGGCTACCAGCTACCTTCTCCCTGTTTTCATGGATTCAGATATTTTTTTCTGCCTCCGTGTTTCGCAGAGGAGGATATGGTTGGTGGCAGAGGCGTGCTGGGGACAGGGACATTACTGGGGCTTTTTCCCTGGGGCTGGTGCCGGCACAAAGGCATCCACCGGCACCCTCCACACCCTCCTCCACTGACTGGTCACCTTGATGAAAAGGCCAAGGACGGGACGCCTGGGTGGCTTAGTCGGTTAAGCGTCCGACTTTCGCTTAGGTCATGATCTCGCGGTTCGTGGGTTCAGGCCCCGCGTCGGGCTCTGTGCTGACTGCCGGCTCAGAGCCTGGAGCCTGTTTCAGAGTCTGTGACTCCCCCTCTCTCTCTGACCCTCCCCTGCTCATGCTGTCTCTCTCTCTCTCTCTCTCTCCTAGAAATAAATAAAACATTAAAAAAAAATTTTAAAAAGGCCAAGGACTATAGTAGCTAGACCTGTTCCCTGTGACTGGGGCTGAAGAACGGCCAGTCAACTCAGGGCCACCATGGGACACCAACTGAGCATGTTTCTTTCACTGAGTATCCACTGCCTTTGACAACCCTGCCTCAGTTTCCCCAAATGCTCCTTGGCCAGCCCCTGGGTGTATTTCCCCATAACCACCAGAGGGCAGTAGAGGGTGTGAAACATGGGCCTCATGCTGCCACCTTGTGACCAACTTCAGAATCGCATCTCTTGTCTGGATGGTCGCTTACCAGGTAAGGGTCGGAAAATGGGCAGACAGGAAAAGCCACACCTCAGAGGACAGGGCCCCAAGCCAAGAACCTCTGCCTCATTTGGGGCATGCTCAGATCAGGGCATATGCCCTGTGGCCTTGACGGCAGCAGAAGGCCTGAGGTGGGAACCCTGTCACTACCTACTGTGACCTTGGGCAAGCCCTCAGAGGTCAGTTAACCTTCATGGGGTTGATGTGGTTAGAAATGAGAACACTACACGGGGTCGGTGTGCACAGCTGACGTGTGATGGGCGTTTTATGCAGCCGGTGGGGTCTGCTGTCCTCAGAGCACACTCCCTGCTCTGTTCCCAACCGGGCTTTTAGGTCCAGAGCTCCAGGAAGGAAGAAGAGACGGGTCGTGAGAACAGCGAGATCCTTCTGCCCTGAGAGTCAGGGAGCTCTCTGGGGAGGACGAGCCACAGCTGGGGCTTCAAGAATCAGGAGGATTCCAGCTTGCTTCTTTGTTTGTTATGCCGTTAAATTTTAAAATTTCACTTTGATCATGCAAATAATGTTTATTGTACATAAACAGAACTTTCAGATAAGCAAAAAGATGATATTAATTATTCATGGTCCCACCAACCTAGAGATATGATCAATCAAAAAATTTTTGGAGGACAGCCTTCTAGATAATTTTTTATGTAGCCCACATATAGTGCATAGGTGTGTATATACACACACAGATAGGCATAGATAAAATTTTTAAAAAATTTTAATGTTTTTTATTTATTTCTGAGAGAGAGAGACAGTGTGAGCAGGGGAGGTCAGAGAAAGAGGGAGACACAGAATCCGAAGCAGGCTCCAGGCTCTGAGCTAGCTGTCAGCACAGAGCCTGACATGGGTTTCGAACTCACTGACTGTGAGATCCTGACCTGAGCTGGGACAGTTAACCGACTGAGCCACCTGGGCGCTCCAAGTTTGTCCTTTTTTTAAGTAAAGATTCAGATCGTGAACATTCCGGAACAGTAACTGCTCTCCCTTTACCAAGTCTGATGACTGTGAGGTTTTCCATGGTAGCCATGTGCCATGGAACGACTGGTCCCCAACTTACTTCACCAGTCGAACGGGAAGGATTTTGAGGTGTGAGAGGCAGAAGGGTCTAAAGGCACAAGGTTTGCAGTGGGGGAGCAGCGTGGTGGATTGAGTAATGGTCCCCAAGTGTGTCTGGGCTTCCTCCCAGGAAACCTGTGACTGTTACCTCATGCGCTCAAGGGAATTTATAAATATGATTAAGTTAATGATTTTGAGATGAAGGGATCTTTCTGGATGGGGCCTTCGGATTGAGCCTTAAAGGTACCATCATCACAAGTGTCCTGTAAGAGGGAGGTGTGACAGAAGAGGTGAGGAGACGGAAGCTGAGGCTGGGGGGCATTCGAGAAAGGGTGACGAGCCCTGGGATGCCGACGCCTCCGGAGCCTGAAGGAACAGAGAAGCAGACTCTCCTCCGGAGCCTCCAGAAGGAACCGGCCCCGCGGACGTCTTGATTTGAGCCAATGAAATGGAGTTCGGACTTCCAAGCCTCTAGAACTGTGAGAGAAGAGATGAGATTAATCTGTCATAAGACACCACTCTGTGGCACTTTGCAGCAGCAAATACACAGGCTACAAACCAGTGTGGCCGGGGAAGAGAATCGGCTACTGGGAGGAGCCTAGTGACCTCGGGCAAGTCTCTTGTCCCGTCACCTCTGGGAACTGAGGGGTGGGGCTGGGCTCCGTGGTGCCGAGGGGGCGCCCCGCCCTGGCCAGCAGGGGTGGAGCCAGCCCCCTCTCTCTTCAGCATCCACAACTGCTATGGGCAGATAAGGGGCCGTATTGATGGGCACATGGCCAGACGACATGACTCCCGGGTGGCCGTCCCCGCCAACTTCGGTTCCAAGAAGCTCCGAGCGGGAGGCCAGCTCAGTCTTGCCTCCCTGGGGGAACTGCAGCTGGCCTCTGGCCCTCCCTGGCCTCAGTTTCCTCATCCTTGGTTCTCACCTGGCTTGGCCCGTTGTGTCCCTCCTGTGGGCCCTTCGTAGACAGCCCTGGCCAGCCTTTCCAGCCAGTGTGACCAGACCCGGCTGGTCTGCTCCGGCTTCCCCGTCAGCCCTGGAGGGCAGGGACCAAGGTCCACGCCTGGACAGCTGGGCCCAGCACACAGGTGCTCCCCTCTCCCCTCCCCTACATTCCAACCTGCTCAGACCAGCGAGATCGGGATGGGGGCGGCCTGGCTGGGAGCCAAAGTTGAGAACATGGCTGGTTTGAATCTCACTTCAACAGTACCCTTTGTATGAACCCAGACAAGTTCCTTCCCACTCTGAGCCGTCAGGAAGGTTCTGTGCCCACCTTGCTTGTGAGGAAACTGAGGCTCAGGGAGGCATGGGATTTGCCCAAGATCATATCGCCAGGTGCCAGGATTTAAGCACAGGCCTGCCCAACGCATCCCAGAGTCTCGGTGGCCTCCAGGCTCAGGAGGGTAACCAGGGACCCGGTGCCACCTGTCTGAGGCGAGGCAAAGGCGCCTTCTCCTGAGTGAAAGTCCCCACGGGTGGGTCACAGCGTGGTCTCTGTCCCGTGGGCTCCTGACTGGCAGCCCCAGAAGAGCCCAGGGGGCGGCTGACATACATTTGAGGCCCTGTCACCTAATCACGGTGAGGCCTTGGGCAAGTCACTTTTCCTCCAGCCTTGGTTTCCTCATCTGTAAAATGGGGTCAGGGTGGCAGCAACACCTCATAACACCG